TTTTTTTTTTTTTTTTTAATTCATCTTAAGCAGTTCCACAGGGATAGAGCTTTTAAGAGCTGGGTAGAGGATTTAGCAACACATCGTGCACAGCTAAATCACAAATTGAACCCAAGAGCCTTGCGCAAACACGTGTAAGTCCACGTGAGGTTAGTGCAACCAAAAATAAGTACAATAACTCCCGCATTCTCTCCTCCTTGTCAAAATAAACACATGTTGTTCAACCCTAGAACCCCTCAATACACACATGGAAATGTTCTGCTTGTCTCTATTGTCTGAAAGAAAGCTGATGGTATCCTGGTAAGGAAGAATAACTACTCCAAGCCAGGTCCTGAGACAGGCTATGCCAAGAGTGCTCCTTTAAGCATCAGAGGTCTGGGCTGGATGTGCTTCGTTGCTGCAAATAGTAGTGATTGGTGTTTATGTGGGTATGTGTTTGTGTGAGGTGGGCTTTGGAATTTGTGGTTTTTTTGGTCTTGCATCCATGAAAACAGGGATCAAGAAGTGGAAACAAAAGAGATGCATAAATAGTGCCTCTTCTATTTGTTTGTTTTCAGGAAAATAAAGGAAAGTTTGGAGTGCTTCCCTGTTAAACTCAATAACTTGATCCACACACTTGCACAGATGTCAGTGACAGGCTCTGCAAAGCCTCCAGCTCCAGAGGCTGTCCCCCAGGAATGGATGATGCTGGACACAGAGAAGTCAATCGCAAGAGCCACCATTTTGGGATTCAGCAAAAAGCCTGACTCTGTATGTATTATATTCCTTCCCTACCCTCATTGCCTTGATCTTTAATGACTCCTCTGAGAGCTTATATACTCTCCCTCTTCCTTTATAGAAGATTTGCTTGTGCCCCATTAAAAGGATCATGGGATGAACAGCGGTGCCATAAGCAATGAGCTACCAGAGAGAAAGAACACCAGGCAGACAGATATTTGCAGGGAGCCATTAAGGGAACAGTTCATGCCCTGTAGTGAAAAATAAATCAGGAGCTAATTAAAGCATCCAGAAGGAAAGCATGACAAAAAATTAGGAAGCCTAAAAGAAATTGGAGGCTGTTATATGATGCTTTAATGGTGCACTATTAGTTTTCACACACTGCAGTGATCTTTCAGTGTTTGAGTTGTATGCTATCCAGGCAAGTTTCTCTTTCCGTGCAGCAAAGGCTGTGAATTACAAACTGAATTCTCTGGCACTTGGCACTACATTAAAGGAAGGTTTTTCTTTGTTAAAATCACCCTATATTTTCTCCTGTACATTTTTTTTTTAATGTGCCTCTCTGATCATTTCTCTTCTCTGCCTGTCTCTTTTCCCCAACACAGATATATCTAGTCCAGGTGGTGCAAACCTGCAACGTGGTCACTTTTGTGGAAAAATCGTTTGACCAGTTCTCAAAACTTCACGGCCATCTCCAGAAGCAATTTCCATCTCATGCCCTCCCAGAGTAAGGCAGCATATTAATGAATGTTATTCTGCTGTTAAGTGGTGCTCTCTGTGCTCAG